AAATCTTTTGCTGCTAATCTTGCTTTGTGATGCTTCGATAAAAAAATGAATTGAATGGGCGGCGTTTTGAATGAGTAAAACTCAGTTTCTATTATTGTTGAATGTCAAGATTGATAAACTGTCAAGATGAACCGCCAAACTTCGTGCAGATGTTTATGAACATATTCCTCCACCTTTCCTGGTTTGCAAAGCATGTTTTTCGAAGTACTATTGTTTTTCTTATGTTATGTAATGTTGATGTACGCTTGAGCCAAGATTGAAACGTAAACGTAAGTTGGTCGCCTTTAGTTTTACTTACTGTATAATTCCTATGAACATGAAAGAATGACTCTACAATGTCCCAACGGCTATAACTCGCTGAATTTGATCGCCTTTGAAAAAAAAAACCTCATAAGTCTACTGTATTAATGCACAATTAAGAATTTCCTCACTTCCTCTTTCATCCCTTCTTTTTTATGAAAGTTAACATAATGTTGCGCACAGCTGTGAACGAAGGACAAACTTACCACCAAGTTCTGATTAGGCACAACTTCCGCCTGCATAGATAAGAATTATCATAGTAGCTGCGGCGCTTCAGCCACTTTTGCCTTTGATCGCTTTCTTCACTTTAACTAAATGGAATTCTTTTAGTCAAACCATTCTACTTTTTTTCTTCTTTTCATTTAGGAAAAAAGTAGTTGTAAACACCGAGCTGCTCATTTCAGAAAAAGAAAAAGCGACGGAAAATTTTGGTTAGGTCAAAAAAGACTCCGACCATTTTTCGTATCGGTGCTGTAATGCAAAAGGTAAATTCCGTCTTTTAGAAATGCCTGATCAAAACTTGGCGACAGAGTCCGACGGCCAACCACTGTATGGAGCACCGAAGCGAAAAGAAGTTATTGTTGTTGCGGACACAATGTCAAAACCCAGAGTGCAAGCGATCAACTCTTCGGGACATTCTACAATCCTTCTTGATGAATCCTCATATGTTCCACAGTATAGTCTATCATTAACGCTACCATTATCCTTGGTGCAAATTCCATTTACTGCTTCTTCAAACCAACCGATGGTTACAACAATACATTCAAATACGGGACAACGAGATACAGTTGTACGATCAGCGCCTGCTGCTAGCGACTTTTCACCAATCATACTCACGAGAACTTCGCAGGATACTCCTGAACAGTCTGAGATAGAAGAATTGGTGACTATTGTGAGCAAGACTGGAAGCAACGCCGAGCCTCAGAGATCTCTCAAAAGAGTTATGAACAGTGCCTATCCTGACGCCCAGAAGAAGCAAAAGGTGCAAAGCCTCTGCAAGGAGTTTGATAAGCCCTCAACAAGTAGCGCCAAAGGAACTTTTGAAGCCGAGAAGAAGGTAACTGAAGTTAATTTCAACTTAGAATTTCTCAAACCTTTACGCTTCAATTAGTAATGATAGTGTGAGGAAGGTATTGATTGCACATTGTGCAATAGTATTTCGTTGAACATGAACAACTTTATAGAATCCACCGTGCGCGATTTGCGGTGACCCTGCAACTGGGATTCACTTTGGAGCTGATTCATGTGCAGCATGTTCCGCATTCTTTCGACGAACTGTGACTATAAATCGTAAATTTGAATGTATTGGGGATTCGTCTACAAATTGTTCTAACTTGAAAGGTATCATAAGGCATAACTTTTTTGACCATTATTAACCCACAAATTGATAGCAATGGTGGAATATCATTACAGAAAGTATTTCCAGGTTCAAGCAGTTGCAAAAAGTGCCGGTTCGAGAAATGTGTATCTGTTGGGATGGACATAGGCAGTGAGTAAGATTGATAATCCAACCTTTCAAGAGACATTGCTCTATTTTCATTCTCTTTTCAGGTGTTCAATGCAACCGTGATTCGATAGGTCACTATTCAATAAGAGCAAAATTGTTGCAGAATAATAATGTGTCATTAGCCGACGCTGATACTATTCTTGATGATCTAAGAGAGAATTACAATGCTTTAAACTATCGTCGCCAACTGCTCTATTCCATGGAAAACAATATAGAGAAAATCTTCAGCGAAAAAGAGCCCGTACGTGCAATAGCAATTCTTTTCAATTTATTGCTGCTCCGCTCTTTACCTTCATTTACTACTGATACATACAATACGTACGGTTGGTGCAAGAAAATCGAGAAAAACCCAAGAAACAAAAAAAATACTTAAAGTAGTCACTGCTTTCTTTGGCTTCCGGCTCTTTCTGGCTACATAACTTTGCACTTTGAAACTAGCATGTATTCTGTTTGTATTGAACTTTTAAAGGCTAGCAATGTAAGAACACACTGGTCTTTAAGACGAACGATAGGCTATCGTCGTTCTGGAATACAAACC